TTGTCGAGTAGCAGAGCGCAGGGTTGGGCAGTAGGAGGGCACAGTGTTGGACAGTAGGAGAGCACAGTGTTGGGCAGTAGGAGGGCACAGTGTTGGGCAGTAGGAGGGCAAAGTGTTGGGCAGTTGAAGGGCACATGGTTGGGCAGTAAGAGGGCACAGTGTTGGGCAGTAGGAGGGCACAGTGTTGGGCAGTTAAAGGGCACAAGGTTGGGCAGTAGGAGGGCACAGTGTTAGGCAGTAGGAGAGCACGGTGTTGGGCAGTAGAAGGGCAAAGTGTTGGGCTGTAGGAGGGCACAGTGTTGGGCAGTAAGAGGGCACAGTGTTGGGCAGTAGGAGGGCAAAGTGTTGGGCAGTAGGAGGGCATAAGGTTGGGCGGTAGAAGGGCACAGGGTTAGGAACAGGTTGGCCAGTGCTCAACCACAGTTGTGTATTGATCTTTACTTTACATAGGGCCCTGGAACTTGGGGGACCTCAAACTGCTTTGAAGATATTCAGAAGAAGCCTGGAAGGGGCGTGTTCTGGGGAAGGAGGGCCCATACATTAATGTAAAGGTTACATTTAGAGGTCAGGCCAAGGATCAGGTTTGGCTTCTCAGGCCTGATATTTGTTCTCCGTTTTTTTGTGAGGTGTTTTTTGCGTGTCATAAATGTGACTGTGCTGCAAATTTTACGTGGAAAGGAATGTAGCCGCTGCGGGGTCATTAGAGGACAAGTCAGTACGGTATGAGGTCATTGTACGACATGTTTACATGTAGCAAACAGACATTTTGTGTTAAAGGTCAACTAAAACATTAAACAAAATGTAAAGAATCCCTGAAAGAATTCAGAGTTTGTGCCTTCACCTTGATGTCAATGGCGCACGATAAAGGAGACTTAAAGTCTAAAGAAGCAGCAGATTGTTACTCACTTTGCCTTTCATTGTTTCCTTTATTTTCAGCTGTTGATCCTGCCAGTAACACACTTCCTGTCTATACTTATTTCTCCATTGTCTCTATGGGGGCAGGGCGACTTCAAACTTCATGTCTGCCTTTCTCTATGTTCATTACATGGTGGGCCGCTGGGACTATAAGTTCACACAATAAAGATAACATTGTTTATGATAGCTTTTCAGCTCACCGGACATGACCAGGACACGGCATTTCTGGCAGGATCAACATTTCTTTTCTGTAATTGCTGAAAATGTTCTTAGCCTGAAAGATGAAAACTAATGCAGACACTACATCTAAGGACTGGTGAGCTGCAAATATATAACATTTTTGTTTTGTATTTAGATACGTTTTAATAAAAATTTTATCCAACCCCCTTTCCCACCTATTGGTCCCTAGTAGGGGTGAGGGGCTGATTTTGGAAAAAATTGATTTGGCTTCTAAAATATTTTGGTGACTTTGGCCTCCAATTTCAACATGCAGACTGCTTGGGTGAAACTTGCTTGAAAATAAAAAAAACTTTCCTGTGTTGGTTTGGTTGTGATTTGTTTTTTGTTTTTTGATGGTAAGAACAAAAAGCAATAATATTAGTCACATAAAAAAATTAAAGAGACAATGTCACAAGGTTTGATGTGTACGGTTTCCTTATTTTTTGTATATTTTATTGTTAACTGATTATGTATTATATATACAGTAAAAATGAAATACACAAAAACAAATAATAAAAAAAACAATCTCTGTGTATTATCTTTTTTAAATTTTTATGTTACTTTTTGACTTTTTATTTACTGTGGAAAAAAAGGCATCAAATAACAGCAAAAACCACACAAAACAAACACAAATATGCTCTCCGTCAATTCTCAGCTGGTATTTTTTCCTCTTAGTATTTTTTGTTTTTGTTTTTGAGAAACAAAACAAAAAATGGCAGAAAAAAAAATGTCTTACTGCAAAAAATGGAAAATAACAACAAAATACAAAAAAATAAAATAAATATATAATATTTTTTATATATAAATAAAAAACACTAAACTAAGCAAGCGCTTAGGAGCCATTCAAGTGCACTTTTAAAAGGCCCCAAAAACTCAATATTTCCCCGTTGGTTCCAATACATGTTGTCGAAAATGGCAATACTCTGCTTCGAAATTTCGAATTTCGAAATTTTTTTGTTGAAATTTTGGTGAAGCGAGAACTTACAATTTGGCTGATCTTTATTTTCTAATCTACTGGACACGCTTCTGTGACACTTCTTTAGGTGCCTCTGACTGTCTCTGGGTATCAGCAGTCTGAAGCTTCTCCAAAGATAGTTTACAGCTGAACTTCCCGCCGTACCTTTAGGCCTTGTATTGATGGCACTGATGGCACCGCTTCCACGCCCCCCCTGCCCCCCGCCGCGGTGCAATTGAACGCGTGGAAAGACTTTGCCGGCGTTCCGTTCCACTGCAAACGCAAAAAATAAGGCTTGCTCTATTTTTTGTGTTTGCAGTGGAAAGCAATGCTGGCAACATTTTGCCACATGTTTGATCGCACTGTGGGCGGGGGGACATGGAAGCAAGCCGTGCCATTGAATTCAATGCGCTGCCACGCCCCCTCCCGCCTCAAAACGTGGGGAGAAGTTTCTTAGCGATCGCGGTGTGTTCCGGCAGCTACCGCTCTGGAACGCACACGCTTTCGGTGTGAACAAGGCCTTAGTGTTGCACAGATGTTGAGGTTCCTCTCCGGGACTGGAAACTAAGGATGAGCTCAGGCGTGTTCGCAGCTCCATGTGCCGAGCCCACCAGGAAGCTGACAGCGCACAGCGCCAATCACAGGTACTGCGACATTTCCCGATCTCTGCAGCTGCGGACCGGGAAATGTCTCAGTAACTGTGATTGGCGCTGCGCGCTGTCAACTTCCTGGTGGGCTCAGCACATGGAGCTGCAAACACGCCCAAGCCCATCCTTACTGGAAATGCCTTCTCATGTGGACTTCACCAAGTCAGACAGAGCCCACCTCCTTTCCTGGCTGGATGATGTCCAGCATCATCTAGCTCTATCCTCTCTAGCTTGACGGTCTCTGGTCCGCCCCTTTTATTCCCTGGATTACAGATCTTCCAATCATAGAGGCTCAACAGCACATGTTGGGAGTTCCCTAAGGGGAATCTGCATATGTGTTCTGCATAGGTGTTCTTAGGCAGGCTGTATTTGCATGCGGACCGTCCCTAGGTAACTCCCAACACTCCTTCAGACTGACGTCCACCCATCGAGGTATTTTGATATTTGCATAACTCCTCCCAAGAGCCCGCCCACTGCTTGCATCAGGGCTGAGAGCTCTTGAAATAAGCACCGAGACACGGCGCTGTGATGTTTTCAGAAAGCTATGTACAGCACCCGGCCGGCCCCTCCCACCAGGAGGCCAGTGATGACATTATCGGGTCTAAAATAAGGAATGTACATGGAAAGGTAAAAGGTTTTATTTAAAAATGTAATGAGCATGTTGATTTGGGGGTGGGGGTGGGGGAATATAGGGAAATGAAACGTAAGCTTTAAAGGAGAACTATGAGGTGGGTGATTTTCACTCACCTCATAGTTCTAGCCGACCTGTGACAATGAGACTGTCACAGGTCTGCTCAGTAGATCGGGAAGTGAGCGAACGCTGTGACAGGGGAGGGACTGACTGGTGGAACGGAAGGGGGCGAGTACAGCTGGCTCTGCCTCTAGATAGGCAGAGCCAGCTGTCACTCATGCAGCTGGGCGTAAAAGCCCTGACCCCATAGTTCTCCTTTAAGGTAAATGTTACAATAATAATAACACTAAATATGGGATGTACTGTATTTCCTTTCAGTTTTTTGTAGATTATTTAGCTGACCGTTAACAATTTGTATAACCTGATATATGTTATTTGCTCAGACTCAAAATCACTCAAAATAGTGCTTGCAGCATTTTGATTGCACCGGACCTCAGGCATAATGTGCATTGCGGTCACGTGCGGACCATTGCATTGCGGCCGGAGGGCGTGGTTATGGTGCCATTCACTGCAATGGCCCACCACGCCCCCTCCTGCCCCACAAAAAAAGTGAGCCGGCCGCAATGCGAGGCAGTGCGTTCTGGCCAGAATCGGGCCAGAGCGCACTGCATCTGGTGTGAACGGGCCCTGAGTTGTGTCCCGTTGGGCAGGTTATCCTTCACTTCCTGTGCTGGAGACACAACAGCCAGAGGAAATTTCTACAAAGTGAGGGGAATTCCTTTCTTAGCCATTTGTCGCTGGAACAGGTGTCCCCATTGGAAGATTTCCCCTCACTTCCTGTTTTGGTGACACCTCTGAAATGTTGGAATTCTCATCACTTTCTGTTATAGTAACAATAATCACTGGGACAGATAGGGAAGCTGAATCTACCTAGAGGGGTCACACACAGGAATAGAAAACTAACAGGGGTCCTAACCCTTGCCTACACCTTCCAAAACAAACAAACACTCTAATACGCAGATGACAGATATACAGGGAGTGTCACTACTTGTACTTTGAGTACTTACGTTGTTTGAAGTTATCCAGAGCCCGTTTCAGAGTGCTGAGGGGAGGACAGAAGAGGTTACATTAGTGTGCTGAGATACATTAACCAAAACAGGCATCTTCCATGAAAGAGACACATAGTCTGCCATTGTGACCCTATGTTGAAAAGGCTAGTCACCTGGTGGCCATCCTAATCCTTCAGTAGTCACCTGGTGGCCATCCTAATCCTTCAGTAGTCACCTGGTGGCCATCCTAATCCTTCAATAGTCACCTGGTGGTCATTCTGACCCTTCAGTAGTCACCTGGTGGTCATCCTAATCCTTCAATAGTCACCTGGTAGTCATCCTGACCCTTCAATAGTCACCTGGTGGTCATTCTGACCCTTCATTAGTCAACTGGTGGTCATCTGGACCCTTCAATAGTTACCTTGCGGTCATCCTGAACCTTTAATAGTCACCTGGTGGTCATCCTGATGCTTTGATAGCCACCTGGTAGTCATCCTGTCCAAGGACCTGTAGCACACCTTACCGGACTTCCCATGTGGAAATATGGGTGCTCGCAATGACTACGGATGGCGCCGTTACGCCGTATCAAGTAAAATCGTTGTATATAGATGTCACCAGCACTCCAAATATGACAGAATACGTCAAAGTTTTAGTGAATCTTCATTTTTATTTTTTGAAGTCACTCAAAGTGGAAACAAGTGCTTTCGGGGCCGCACAGGGTCCCCTTCATCAGGCTTAATGTGTGGTGGCCATCCTGACCCTTCAATATTTATCTGGCAGCCATCCTGACCCTTCAGTAGTCTCCTGGTGGTCATCCTGGCCCTTTAATAGTCACCCAGCAGTCATCCCGACCCTTCAATAGTCACCTTGCAGTCATCCTGACTCTTCAAAAGTCACCTGGCAGTCATTCTGACCCTTTCAATAGTCACCTGGTGGTCACCCTGACCCCTTCAAGGGTCACCTGGTAGTCATCCTTACCCTTCAATAGTCATCTGGTGGCTATTCTGACCCTTCAATAGTCATCTGGTGGTCATTCTGAACCTTCATTAGTCACCTGGTGGTCATCTGGACCCTTCAATAGTTACCTTGCGGTCATCCTGAACCTTTAATAGTCACCTGGCGGTCATGCTAACCCTTTAATAGTTACCTGGTGGTCATCCTGACCCTTCAATGGTCACCTGGTGGTCATCCTGACCCTTCAGTAGTCCACTGGTAGTCATCCTGACCCTTTAATAGTCACCTAGAGGTGACCCCAAAATGACCAGCATTAAATGTAGTATAGCAGCCAGGCATCTGGTATTTTTAGAAGCAGGTCAGCGATTGCAGTATATTTTAGTCATAGACCCCTTTATTCCCCGGTACAGTTGTGACACTGATGTGGTTCAGATTTGGTGAAAGCCTCGTGTTCAGTGGTTATCACAATGATTACGGCAGTGACACAGACAGGAAATGGTGCACTCACTTTATTTCAGTTTGTCCGCAAGGCTTCTTCTTTGTTAAATTAACCAGTTCCTTCCCGTAGCGCTCCTCTATGGCAGCCCTATAGAAGACAATCAGAGACAGACAAAGGGTCATCATCATCATCATCATCTTCTTCTTCTGGCTGCATAGACCTGGGAAGGCCTGGGTGGAAAACCCACATGACTAGTCCTTTCATGGTGGGGGCAGATTGTTCTGGGCTAGGCAAGGTGTACCAGGCAAAGGGTGGCATGGTGCCTCGGTAACGGTAATGGTGAAAGGTGAGTGTTCATAAGGACATGGTTACCTGGGACACACCTTTCCCACAATCAGATGTGGTGTTGGAAGATGTCCCTTGGCCAGAGGCTTTGATCACAGGTCTGAATGAGATAGCTTTATAATCACCACATGGTGTCACTGATTGCGGGTCCTATTGTGACTGAGGGTGAAGCATCTTCACCCCGGGCCCCTGACCCAGTATATTGTATTAGCACTACCCCAAGGGACAGATTCCCCCAGCCCAGTTCTCCTTTGGTACTGTAGGTGTAGTAGTAGGGGATGGTAGCTAAACAGGTGTCACTGATTGCGGGTCCTACTCTGATTGGTGGTGAAGCATCTCCACTCTGGGCCCTAGCCCAGCATATTTTATTACTACTGGCCCAAGGGACAGATTCCTCTGTCCCCCCAGCCCAATTTTCCTTTGGTACTGTAGGTGTAGTGCGGGGTGGTAGCTAAACAGGTTGGCCTAGATGTCTCTATGTCTACCAGTTATTATCAAGGGAGTCCTGAGCAAACCCCAGCAAGCTGAGAGACATTGCCTCCAGAGTGTACGGGTCCTATACCAGGGCTTCAGAGAGGGCATCTAGGATGCTCAGAGCCCCTCAAATGGAAACCCTCTATATTTTAGGGTTTAAAAAAACTAATTAGGGCTCACATAGGGGTTCAATTATGACCTGAGGCCTGCACATTACACGCGGCTCTCCCTGTGGAAGCTCGGTGCATTACTATGTATGCTTAGATTTGGAGTCCTCTATAGCTGGTATTATTCTGCATTGCTGTATAACGTATTGCTGGGATCTGTAGTCCTCTATAGCTGAAGGTATTATTCTGCATTGCTGTATAATGTATTTCTGGGATTTGTAGTTCCTCTATAGCTGAAGGTATTATTCAGCGTTGCTGTATAATGTATTGCTGGGATTTGTAGTCCTCTATAGCTGGTGGTATTATTCTGCGTTGCTGTATAATGTATTGCTGGGATTTGTAGTCCTCTATAGCTGGTGGTATTATTCTGCGTTGTTGTATAATGTATTGCTGGGATTTGTAGTCCTCTATAGCTGGTGGTATTATTCTGCATTGCTGTATAACGTATTGCTGGGATTTGTAGTTCCTCTACAGCTTAGAGTCAGCGTCAGAACTACCAGGATCGCAGCGTTTGCAGCTGGGACCGGGTCCTGGTGCTCCACCACTGTCCTAAATCATTTGTCAGTATTGTTTTAGAAGAACTGTCACATGACACTGATAAAAGGTATCAGTCATTGATATCGGTGAGTACCTGAGGAAAAGTATTGGCACTCGTACTCTGCTTGGGAAAAAATGGTATTGGTGCGTCTCTAGTTTGCAACCTCTTACAGTTTGTTTTCTTTAATAAGCAGCCACAACCTAAGTGGAAAAGCCTGTTCCCAGCCAGCACGCTGCAGCGGAGGGCCCTTGCTCTCTAGGTGGAAGCAGTGGTCTCTCTGCAGCGCTCAGACAATCCCCTGCTTGGTCAGACCTCTAGCTCTACAACTGGGGTAGGCGACCTCAGCACTCCAGCTGTTATGAAACTATAAGTTCCAAAAGGCATTCCAAGACTCTGACAGCTTATGCCCCCTGCTGATTGGAGAGCTGTATCTCTGGTTCATCAGGGAGCGTGTGGGACCTCTGCAGAGAGACCACTGCTTCCACACAGAGAACAAGGGTCCATCTCTGCAGCATGCTGGCGGCGGACAGGCTTTTCTACTCTTTCGGAAGGAATACAATTAATTATCTGGAATGTGATTCAGCTGATTTAATCCGAAAGTTCAGTTGGGCTTTAATAATTGTGACATTTGTTTTTGGTTGAGCACCTTTCCCACCCACATTCCTCTTCTCACTTCACCTGGGAATTGGTATCTGCTCTGACCTGAATGATCCGCTGGGTGTACTGAGCCAGCGAAACGGAAAGTTCAAGGCCCCTAGAAAGAAACTTCAAGAAACTAACAACCCCCCTACCATGTGATAGCACACATGCAGTGACAGGTCCTCTTTATGGAGACAGCAGGGGTCTATTAGACCCCTAAAGTCACCTTGGGATCCCTGAAGTCCAGAGATTGGAGTGCTGGGAGTGTGCTGATCTCCTTCCCATCTAAGCGTACAGAACCCCCGTGCTGGTCCAGGCCCGCTTAGAGGAGGACAGCATAGCCTGGGATAGCCAGTGGCGGAGATGGGGGAGGGGGGGTAAGCACACCCCCACGCAGCATACAAGTGATTGGGCAGCTCTATTTGCCATAGTGTTCTACAGAGTCTCCGCTTTGGGGGGAATATAAGTATACTAACTAAAAACAGTTAACTGACATGTGCAAAAACAAATATATGCAAAAATGGCTATGGCAGCGAAAGGGTTAATGGTACAAAACCAAGCATTTAACCCTTGCACTGTTGGGGGGGGGGGAGTAGTTTTAACATTTCGGTTCAGCTTTAAGAATGTGTTTTTCAGTTTTGTGCGCAAAACATAAACAGAGAAAATACAAAAATCGTACTACAAAGTTACAATGTTGAACACAATCTGACGATCGGAAGATAAACAGAATCCAACGCATTTCGGGGGGCAACAAGTCTCCCTTCATCGGGGCTACAAAACTAGATATGGGAAAACAATAGCAAAACGTTGAAAAATACGAGTTTTTCGGGAGTGTTTTGTAACATATTACAATGGATCTGACCAAGCGACGAATATTCTGCAGGTTAGCAGGACTGATCATGTGATCATAGCACTTGGACCCGCCCACATAGCATTCACTTAGACCCGGCATACCTCACCATCTACAGAGCACAAAGCTGGCCGGCCTATAACGTCTCTGGAATGCTTTTAATGGAGATCGTTACCCGGGATTTTTTTTTTACAGGAGTTTCATTGTAAACAGCAACATACAGAGCGGGAGGGCGGAGCATCAGATATTCCTGGTCATGGTCATAGCATGTCATGTACTGAGTCAGTGTCACACCTCCTGGTATTTATTAAAGGAGAACTATGAGGTGAGCGATTTACACTCATCCTCATAGTTCGAGCCGACGTGTGACAATTAGACTTTCACAGGTCGGCTCAGTAGATCGGGAAGTGAGCGAACACATACCGTCCCTCGCTCACTTCTCGATCTATCCCTGCAGAGAGCGGTGACTGTCACTCAAGGCTCCCTGCAGGGATCCCCCCCTCCCCGCTCCGATCCTCCAGCGCTGACTGGCGGAACGGACGGGGGAGGGAGCGGGCACAGCTGGCTCTAGATAGGCAGAGCCAGCTGTCACTCACGCAGCTGGGTAGATCCGGACAGTAATGTCGGGATCCGTCCCAGCTGCGGCGTCTCAGTATACGGCGAGGTGTAGCTCGCGGTATACTGAGCTTTGGGTGACGGTAGGACGCTAGTTTGTTTCCTCCCGTTACCCTTAGGAGAACTATGGGGAAAAGCCCTGACCCCATAGTTAACCTCATAGAGATCACAGTGCTCCCCTGACAATCCTTCATCTGCTTTTCACTTTTCACTCCAGAAGGGCAGCACCATCTTTGTTCAGGCGTCCTCCGGGGGGTCACCGTCTACTTCCAGGACTGAGAGATGTCATTTAAAGATGACACAATCATGTAAATCCCGGTGTCAGTGCAGTCCTTATCAGCCCCTGCTGCAGCCTCTCACCATGTGACTCTCTACTCGACATGTGTTCGTTTCGGAAAGATTCGTTATTCGGACGTATTTTCGGAAATTCAGGGATTCAGATATATCCGAATCTCCAAATGACAGAAATGAGTGAAAACGAATCCAAATTTCCGATAACCAAAATTCCGGACGAAATTCGTTAGCGGTAGTCTGTAGACGTGTGCGATTCGTTTCGTTCCGAATCGAAATTCAGACGGCAATTCGGAATTACGGAAATAACGAATATAAACGACTCTGAATTTCCGATTCCGAAATCCGTTAGTGGACGAAATTTCGTTGCAGCAAAATGACATTAGAAATATTTCTTTCATTTTTTTATTGCGCCCCCCCCCCCCCCCCAGTTCATACCAGACCCTTTAGGTCTGATGGGAATGTTAGGAGGGATCCCCTCGAGTCAAAACAAAATAAAGTGCATGCGGTTCCCCCCAAAATCCATACCAGGCACTTTAGGTCTGGAAGCAATTTTAAGGGGGAACCCCAGCCCCAGAAAAGGGGAAAAATCAGTGGGGTCCCCCCTAAAATTCCTACCAGACCCTTTATCTGAGCACTGGCCCAGCAGGGCAGAAAAGGGGGGGGGGGTGTGATTGAGCGCCCCCTCCCTGCGCCTTACCAGTCCACGTGCCCTCGGCATTGGGAGGGAGTCCCCATGCCGATAGGGACAAGGGCCTCTTCCCCACAACCGTGACACGGTGGTTGTGGGGGTCTGCGGGCAGGGGGTCTTATTTGTATTGGGGTACCCCTTTAATTAAGGGGGCACCCAGATGCCGCCCCCCCCCCCTTGTGAATGAGTAAGGGGTACTTGTACGCCAGCAAAGAGAGGAGGGGACATTCATAAGGTATGCCACCAGGTCCCCTCCTCTCTTGTGCAGCTGTCGGCCTCTCAGTCCATGACCGAGCGCCTGACTTTTCAGAGGGGGTGTCACCAAAATTACGGTCAGTCATTTTGGTGTCACCTCCTGCGATGGTGTCACCCGGTGCGGGACAAACTCCCTGCACCCACCTAGTGACTCCATTGAAGGGTCCTTCTCTTCTCAGAAGCTTTACTGATTGCAGAGGTATAGACCTGACTCATCTAGGCTTGCCTTGGACCCCTGCAGAGAGACCACTGCCTCCACTCAGAGCGCAAGGGTCCTTCCCTGCAGCATGCTGGTAGGGGGCAGGCTTTTCTATTCAGGCTGTGGCTGCTTGTGTGCCCCTACTAAAATAGATCTAGAGCTCTGCTTGATTCTCCCTTCTTATGGAGGAGCTCTGGCTCACCAGGGGGCATGCCTGACCTCGGCAGAGAGACCACTGTTTCCACACAGAAGGGTCCTTCCTTGCAGCATGACGTTAGGGGGAAGGCTTTTCTACACAGGCTGTGGCTGCTTGTATGCCCCTACTGAGTCAAACCCAGAGCACTGCTTGATTCTTCCTGCATATTGGAGAGCTCTGACTCACCAGGGGACATGCCTGACCTCTGCAGAGAGACCACTGCTTCCACACAGAGAGCATTGTCAGCTGTGCGAGCAGCATTTGTAAATCACGCATTGCTGAAATATACTACAGATATATTTTTTTAACCCAGACATAGACTTTGACCTCGTGGCCTTACCTCACCCTGAGCGAATTTCCATCTCAGCAGCGGTTACTAACCTTTCCTTGAGGAAGTCCTCGAACTCCTTACAGTTCTTCCTCCCGTCATTCATGTGTTGTAGGAGACAGTCATAGCCGATGATGCTGGTGATGTCCAAGCTCTGCACAGAGAAAGAGAAATGCGTCAGTCATTGGCCTGGGGAGGCACGTCACTAAAGAAGAACTCTACCTTGGAAATAAATCTGGACAGCCGGAGGAGAGGAGACGCGGGCAGGGCTGACAGCGCTGCTTGGAGTCTCAGTGCAGCAGAGGCATCGTTGTCAGCTCACTACAGGAAGTTAGGAGCACACTGGATTTCTGACAGATCAGCGGGGGGAATGTGTGAGTATAAGCCCTCATTCACACAAGAAAAGGCCGGCACGTACAGCTCTGTGCTGCGTGCACGGCCGTATCGGGAAGCTCCCGGGAAGGACAGGAGCTGCGTGTGATTAGTACACAGCCCCCGTCCTTCTCTATGTGACTACGCGGCCGTACGCCGCCCTACGCTCACCTCAAGTGCAGGTCCGTGCGGGTGCGGGTTTCCAGAGCCGTAGCCAGCTCCTTTTGCACCCGAGGCAAGAACAGAAAATTGTGCCCCCCCAACAGACGTGTGCGGTACGTGACATCAAGAGCCCTAGAATAGCGGAGCGCAGAATGGGATGGAGGCCAAATCTGTTTGACAAAACTAAAGAGAAAATTTTTAGCTTCCGTTCATTTCGTCCGAAACAAATTTGTAGTCTTTGCACATGTCTAGCAGTGTGTGTGTGTGTGTGTGTGTGTGTGCGTGTGTGCGTGTGTGCGTGTGTATTATTATTTTTTTTACTGTTGGGGCGGCTTCGGGGGAAATATCGGGGGTCTACACATTTCCCTTTTTAAATAGAAAAAGAGATTGGAGGACGCAGAGTCCTCTGCCCATACAGGCGGGGGAGAGCAGCGGGGATCCGAAAAGAAGCTGGAGCCTGTGCCACTCCTCTTCTCCTTGCCGAGCCCTGGCTGCGCCCCCTCTCAGCTGTGTCTGAGGCGACTGCCTCACTCTCCCCATGGTAGCTACAGCCCTGCGTGTTTCCTCGCTCGGACGCAGACAGGATCCATCCTGCCAGCGTACGAGTACGCTCACCCGCACGGACGTGCAGGGCGGGTGAGCGTAGGGCGGCGTAGTCCCATAGAGAAGGACAGGGGCTGCGTACTAATCACACGCAGCACCAGTCCTTCCCGGGAACTGCACGCAGCACGGAGCTGTACATGCCGGCCTTTTCCCGTGTGAATGACGGCTTAAACTACCATTTGAGAAGCTTCAGACTGCTGATACCCAGAGACTGTCAGAGGCACCTAAATGCTAACAAGTGTCCCAGAAGCGTGTCCAGTAGATTAGGAAATAAAGATCAGCCAAATTGAAAGTACTCGCATCACCGAAATTTCAACAAAAACATTTTGAAATCCCAGCACTCTGGGATCAGCACTTTGCCATTTTAGACAACATTTATTGGAAGCGATGAGAAAGGGGAAATATGGTATTTTTGGGGCTTTTTAAAAGTGCACTGGGCTTTAAATGGCTCCTGAGCGCTTGCTTAGTTTTGTGGGGGTTTTTTTTGACGTTTTTATTTCACAGTAATGAAAAAAAAAAGCCAACATTTCTTTTTCTGCCCTTTTTCGTTTGATTTCTCTGTCAAAAATGGAAAAAAATAAAAATTAGAGAGGGAAAAATACCAGATGAGAATTGACAGAGAGCGCATTTGTGTTTTCTTTTTTTGTATCTTGCTGTTATTTGGCGTCTTTTTTTTTTTTTTTTTTAC